TTGAACACCGGCGCTCTGTGCACTAGAAGGTCACGGAGAAGCAGTGGCTCCGCGTGAGGGGCAACTGTCTGAGACCCTGGGGAAAACAGCGGGGTAGACTGGCACAAGGGGGAGGGGGAATAAAGGAGGGGTGTGAGCCAGCTTGTCATTTATCAGTATTTTCATCACACCGTGACTATTTCAAGAGGAGGGAGGTAGCAGCCAGGACACAAATAGACGCCAGCTGAATATCCCCTCATCAGTGAAACACTACGACGCTTCAGCCTCAGAGAGACTAGCGTGTCAAGCTCAAACTACAGGTGATCTGTTAGAACACATGATTTTAAACTAAAGTCAAATGAGAAAATATGTAAGAGCAAAACAACTGAAGGATGACAGAATTCAAAATCTGTTTTGTAGGGAATATTGGGATTAGGATTTTCTCCCATTACCTTGCAGATCCTTCAGTATCTGGTTAGGTAAGTAAGTCTTAACAAACACATTGTGCATGATGATCAATTAAAATTTCAAAATAAAAACACACCTCCATGACCCTCCCCAAACCATGCCTGACTGGAAATGCCAGTCCAGATTGACAGAGCTGCGGATCTCAAATCATTGCCCAGAAACACAGAGCCAGAAACAAGGAGCTTAAGGAGTAAATAAAATAAGTCTTTATCTGACCTAAAAAAGATTTACATGGAGAGCAGCCTGAGATGATTAAACAACATTACACTACATCAGGCAAAACAGATTATATTTGATTCCCTCTAACCACATGAAACGTTCTTGAGGGAAAAACGCTGACCAACGTTTTCAGGATGTAAATCACAAGTAAGACTGGGTATGGCTTGGCAAGAGACATTTCAACAAACATTTCATCTCCACTATAAACAAACCATACACTCAAACTGACTCCAAATCAGTCTCATGAGATTTCAGCTGCAAGCTGCTTACTGCTGGTACAATTCTGCCAGTGAGTCACTGAAAGAGGATCAGTCTTTTTGGTTACAACTTACCTCAGAAACAAGCTAGCCACCGTGATTAATTTTAGAGAGAGCTATTAGTGTTCTTTCTATGGGTTTAGGCCAAACAAATGATTTCAAGATCTGAGCTCAGATCAAAACAGACCACTTGCATCTCAAGTGTAACCTGTGACGAAATTCCTCTAATGCACAGCATCAATTAAACCTTGATGGTTTTATAAACTACTGACCCAACTTCATCCACAAATGTCTGACTAGTAGAAGTTATAAAACTCCAACCACCAACAAGTGTATCTAACTTTACACGCATACTGATTATTTATATCATCACAAAATGTAAACTATATCATTGCACAGCTTTCTATTTACATTTAAATATACCCAAGGTAATTCGCATACATACAGTACACTCAGCCATAGCAATACATACTGTATAGCAAACCTCGGATGAGTGTTTTTATAAATCACAAAACGTACATTAAATTATCAAGATTTTCTATAACGCTACTTTGAAACAATGTGTAAGCTATTGTAAGTAAAACTGACTTTACTTAAAAAGCAGAACAAGGCAACCACATCTATATTAAATCTTCCCAACTGCTGAACTTTCTGCAAGGGTATAGAAAGTAAACAAGAGACATACTACATCATCTTAGGCACCAACTAAAGAAATCAAAGTGAAGCCAACGTGGCAAAGTAATATCTGGAATAAACTGTTGACATCTCAAAACAAGCATTTTTGAAAACACAAGGCTCTTCTTTTTGTGGTAAAGAGGAAACCTATTAGTTAAGACTGTTGCGTTGTTTCCTGTTTGTACAACAACACTATTATTATACCGTTTTGCTGTGAAAAACAAGCAGCTAAAGAGGTTTTGAGTTGACAGGTAAACTAGAGAATCATAAGCTGTATTTTCTTGTAGCTAACTAAGCCATGATCTGACATGACCATTTAGGAAACCAAAACAAGTTTTGTTTGGTAGTAAATGGGTCGATGATATTTCTGTTTTTTAAAAACAGATGGATAAGACTCACCTGGCCAGTGGAGTCAATCATTGGTAACAGTGGTGTCCTGGTCGACATCTTCTGGCTGGATTTGGCTGGATCTGAAACTGAACGTGTTCACAGTTCTCACAATTCAATCAAATGTGACATCGGCACAGCACGATGAGAAGTGTCCAAAGTCCAGCTTGTAAAGAGCCCCTGAGCTCGGTGCGAGTCCCCAAACCAGTACAGATTAGCTTTTAAAAAAGTCCCGTCATTAAGTCATAGTTTGTTTACTAGTCTCGGCAGGAACGTGAATTTTATTGAAAAATTTCGACGAACCCTATCGGCGGGTGTCAACACTGAATGCCGACTTCCTATGTAATTTTCTACAGTTAACGTAGTAAATTTTCTGGTAAATTACAGCATTAAAGAAGAGACAGATTAATCTGAACCCTCAGCTGATGAAAAACAACAAAATTGTTCCCAGCACAAATGTGCAAAATCGAGTCCGAGGACTTCCAAGTTTTATTAGGCCGGGTGGCAAAAGGGTCCCTAATTTAGCCGTAACTATCGATGCTCGGCTGTATATTGTTGTGCATCTGTAATGTCAAAAATTTTCGTTTTCTTCTTCTCAAGCCTGAGGAAAGACACATGAAAGTCCCGCTTAGCACACAAAAAAAACTTTACAGCAAGTTATCGAGCTGCTCCTTCCAGTTAGCCAAGCAGCGCCCAGATCAGCGTTACTCCGAGTAATGATCCGTCATACAGGAGTCAACATGCCCGTTTCAAAACCAAATCAAATACCTAATGTCGTCTCGAGGTGACAAACTAACGATCCGAGCACAAAATCATCGCGGAGATGCTCGTATACTGGCTCTCTGCGCCTCTGAAACTCACATCTAACCTGCTAACGCGCGTTAGCTGGCCGGGTGACTTCGAAAAAGTCGCAGATATTTTGACAGTATGATTGTAAGAATAGGTCCTAACCGTAGCCCGGTTGTTAATGGCTGTAAATTGGTCGGTTCCAGTCGGTGGTACGCGACAAATTACATCCGTGAGCCGTGAAAAGCTGTACAGTCGAGCGGTCACGACTGGTACCGCAGCAGCGCCGGACGCCAGTGTTGTTTGCGTTCAAGAGAAATGTGAAACCAGGCTGTTGTGGATCGACTTCTTCTGCCTCTCTCACATAGAGCTTTAAAATAAAAGTCTTTTATTAATTTTATTCATTCGTTTTAAAATTAAATCATTATATGTATATTCGATATGCAAAATTAGCTGTTTTTTTGTTTGTTTGTTTTAATAATAACGTCTTAGTAAATCAGTTGTTTTTGTGTTAGGCTCATGTTAGAAACAGAACAAAAATCGAACCTCACAGTGTGTGTGTGTGAGTGTGTGTGTGTGTGTGTGTGTGTGTGTGTGTGTGTGTGTGTGTGTGTGCGTGTGTGTAAAATGTAAAATATAAATGTGTACTTTAAAAATTCACATAATTATATTGAAACGTATGTGCATTTAGTACATTTTCCTCATTAAAAAGTTTTGCATACAAATATATGAGCATATGAGCAGTGCTTTTGGAAACATCTGTTAAAAATTATGCATTCTCTCATAAAATGAAGACACCATTCAGATTCTACATGGGATGAGTTCTTTAATGGTGGTTGCCATGTTTAGATCACTGAATAAATTAATCACAGATGCCAAATACACCTGTGAATACATTCTACCTGCAGTATACCTGTCAGTACAAAATCCCATTACTGTAAAATGCACATAGAATGAGTGCATCTTTACAGGGATGTAAGTAATAATAAAAAAAGAGAACACCTCTTTGGGATTACTGTCGAATTACAGATCATTCTCATTTTACACATAGAGAGGGATGTGGAAATTTCTGTATCAGGAAAAAAGTGAAATGAGTGGCATCAAAATTTTTAACTAAAACAGAAACTAAGACTTTTCATTACTAAAAAGATAACACCTCAGGAAAGCAGTAGCAGGTGAACCTCTATTAATTTAAAATAAAACGTCCCAGAAGAAATTCATACAGGTTTGGAACAAGTTCGCCTGCTACTGGTTTCCTGAGGTGTTATCTTTTTGATAAGAATGTGGGAACCAAACAGTTGACGGTAGCCACTGACTTCCAACATTCTTCAAAATATCTTCTTTGAAGTTCCATAGAAGAAAGAAAGTCGTACAGGTTTGGAACAACATGGGTGTGTGTAAATGATGACAGAATCTTCCTTTTTGGATGGATTTGGATTTTCCCTTCAACAACAATTGCAAACCAAATGCACAGTACTGTAAATGTGAGCAAATACAGTTTATTGAAGCTCCAGAGGAAGGCAATGAAATCACACTTTCAATTCACACATCAGTGCAAGCCAGATAAACAGTCTTTGAAAAGGTTATGCAATCATTTAGCAGTGACTGTCAAACTGTTTAATACATTTGACTGTAATATGCTGTATAGCAGTCTTGCCTGCATTATCTGCAGATTGAAGTTGTTCTAAAGTCTGATTGAGCTGAACTGAAAATTGTACATATATACATTACATATTTTTTGCCATGCATTTTTCTTATTTTTTGTTGCTCATCTCTATGGCATTCTGATCACTGGACTGTGAATGAAGGAATGAATACTCTGCTGCCATCTCTAGGCGTTTTGTGGAATAAAATAAAATAAGGTGTAAAGCAAAAATAATGTATTTTTTTACAGTTTACCTTTGTTATTTCTTTCTTTTTTTGTCCAGAACATAAACAGAAGATACTTTGAAGAACACTAAGGTCCAAGGATTTTCAGTTTTGGGTGATCCCTTTAGTTTAAAGAGTCAAGGTGAATGTTAAGCAAATAATCTTTGCCATTTTGAAACTTCAGATTTTAAAGGTTATTTGGGAAAAAATCTCCCTGATAAACTAAATATCGTGTGAAAAATACTGCATGTTTTGTATGAGCTACGTTATATGGCCAGCGTTTCGTCATTGGTCTAGGATGATGTCACCTGCACCGAAACCCCGCCCCTCATCCCCCACATAGCGCGCTGTCTGCACACGCACAGTACACAGAAGCGCACATTGCATTGCGCTGGTGTACACATGGTTATTGTGTTAATTGTGTACATTTGCGAGGACAAGCGCTCTGAACAGTATGAGGAAAAACTGCCTGTATGTCATATACCGATGGACATCACTGGATTTTTAAAGTGTAACCCGCACATTAAGGAAGACCATAGATAGCCTAACTGCAGCTATGTAAATGTCTCGATCGGAATAGTCGCGGGGAGAAACACAAGAATCTCATTTATCACAAAACATGACGATACAGCGGACGTACAGCTTATAACGTAAGTCATTTTTTCACCTCGTTTTATTTTTGAGGCCTTCATAATATGCAATCATGTATCTGTGTGTTTCCAGCAATAAAGGGTATAGCCTACTTAATGGCTACTTAATATTTTGTTTCAACAAAATGTCGCCCAATGAGAAAGTGCGAGTTTTACTGCAGCTGTTATTCATATTAAAAAGGTAATGATAATACAAATCTTCCCTAGTTCACGTTTTAGATATTGTCTATAAGGATGCCCATCAGAAATCTACGCAAAACGTTCGAATTGTAATGCAAATGCATTTGAAATATAATAAGCATAATTTCTTTTAGCATTCACACTGAAATGGTAGTGAAACTGAGCTCAAATGGCGAAGAGACACTGAACTACAGTGAAAGCGCATTTGAATTTGCGTGACAGCATCAGCGTGGCCTAACAAGTGACAGTCAATACAGTTGCAAATCTGTGGCAGACGTTCTTGTTTTCCCTCTCAGTGACTGTAGGCCTGTATAATATTGTGCTTTTAATATCATCTATGTAAGCGTTTGCTCAGATGTCGCATAACGCGCATTTTTGCTTGCACAGTTGTAGTAGAAACGTTAGAAACAAAGGCTCCTAATTAGTGCTGTGATTCCGCTTTCCAGTGAGAGAAACTGGACATTTAGGGGCAATGAACGTAATGACGTGTGACGATGCGCGAAATCATTCCAGTGGATTTCAGCTTCTTATCCTGTTAACCTTCCCACAATTTTTATAATGGTTTAAAACAATGCAATCATTTCATCAGGCAAAGAGTTGAGCAGGCCCATGTGTCTGTCGCAGACTGTTGACTTGAATTTAAAACATGCGGGGAAATTATGTACGCCTGTCTATAAATTAAAGATAGATGCTTATTACATGCTTATTACACGTACTAAATAGCAATTAGGTTAAGCCCAAATAATGAAAAATGTTAATGTTTTCACAAGAATTCTTATTACACATTGATTGGGGGAGCAATCATTCTAGTTGATCAATTCAAGTGGCATTTCATTTGTTAAAATAATTCTTGCACTGACACTTTCTTGTCACAGTATTTTGTAGGTTACTGATAAATGACCAGCAGATGAATATTTAATATGACTTTCCATTGCTGTACGTGATTCATTGCAAAAAAAAAACATTACACACATGGTTTCTGTGTGAAATACTGCTGATAAGATGTTTAGTGTGTGAGTTAAAGTGATTGGAGTGATGTTGACTTGCAATATGACAAATCTGGGTCAATGTAACCACCCACCCCCCTTCACTACCACAGGCTACAAAAGGCAAGACTGAAAAAAGCAAAGAGGATGAGGATACCATCACCAGGCTCTGTGCGTGAATGTATGCATGTGGAAATAAGAGCATGGTGTGCTGGCTCTGTCCTGGGGTCGTTTGTGTGTGTGCGTGGGGGGGGGTGTTGTGTTGGGGTATATGTCTGAAGTGCTGTTGTGCATGTCCCCCTCCTCCACGAGGTCAGTGGATGATACAGCCATGTCACATCCTGTAACTGTTCTCTCTGAGCTGCTTTATATTCTCTTTTACACATACAGACACACATCTTTTCATCCTTCTCTTGATTCTTTCTTCTGTTTTCGCCATTCTGTACTTTATTCTTAAAGGAATAAAAATGAAAATTCTGTCATTATTTACTCATTCTCTTTTCATTCCAAACCCAAATAATTTACTTTGTTCTGTGGAGCACAAAGAGAAGCCTGTTTTCCATGATATTTTTATGCAATGACGATGATGAGGGACTGAAGCTTTTAAAGGGTCATAAAGGATGCAGATGCATTATAAAATTGGTCAATATGACTTGTACATATTCCAAGTCATTATCCAGTCTCCATTTATTGCAATACCTCTGAAAATACCAACACAAATGCTCTCCTTTTGTGTTCCGCTGAAGAAAGAAAGGTGTACGGGTTTGGAGGATGAATAATGGCTAGATGTTCATTTTTAACTGATCTATCTATTCCTTTAACCTTCTTTTGGTCTTTTCATTGACATTTCATAATGTCTAATACGATCGTTTCAAACTGTCATTATTTAGAATAATGAGCTGATCTTCTCTGCTCTGTGGAGAGGTGATTAGTGCAGCCATCAGATTATATCTCTATTATTAGAAGAATGATAACATTATTCCATTTACATTTCATTACATGTTTGACTATAACAGATGTTTTCTAAATAAACTCTGTAAATGCGTGTCTTAATAATCTCCAGCAAAACAATGACTTTTTATAAACAGTCAAGAAGACAAGGATGATATATTGCAGGACAGTCGTGATAACCAAGAATACAGCATGCAGAGTATCATCAAATTATGTCAATATTACCCTGATGTGACATCACTACAAAGCTGCCTCCTAATTTATATAGTTCTTTATACGGTTTGCTTGCATGCTTGTAAGGATTATTTTATGCCTTCGATAAATGTGAACCCCTGGAATTTGTTAACAAGGGTACTGGGTCAGAAAGATTTTTCTGTTACTTTAGGATTTCTCCTACCGACAAGTCTGTGACATACCCTTGTGCTGTTCATTATTGTTTCACAGTGTTTAATAACTAGTAAGGTTGTGAATGACTAACAGAAGACTGTCTTTTGTACTTAACTCATCACAATTGTTGATGTAATTCCTTGTGCTGTGACTAATATTAAAGGGTTAGTTCATATTTCAAAAATTACACAAGTACCATAATGAATGAACACTATAATATTAATTTGTCTTTTTTCTTTTTGCATCCTAACCACACAGCTTCGCTCAGCCCCAGATGCCTCCGCTCCCTCTTGACGAGCGCATAGTGGTTATTCAGCGGCCCAAAAGTTTGGCCTTGCACGTGGCCTCCCCACCAACCACTTCACAGTCTTCCTCACACCGCCCAGCCACTCACAACGAGCCCCCACCCTGCTTACCACAACCCCAACCCCCACCACCCCATTCCCATCCAGGTTCCAAATACCTGTCTCTGGAATGCAAGCACAGGCAATCTTCCCATGTTCAGAGAGATAAAGGAGAACGAGGTGCTCCCTTTGAGGGCAGCGGCCACAATACTAGCCATTGTCACAGCAATGGGACAGTAACTTTAGGTCCCAGACCTCACAAGCACACGCATACCATTGACATTAGAGTGTCTTTGGACAAAGGTGGAAGAGGAGGATCTTACATAGACCAAGGCCGCAGCAGTAGTCTTACCCGAAGTGGAAGCATCAAAGGGAACAGAACTAAACGGGTGTCACTGCACTTGGATCCAGGGCAAGGCGAAAGGAAATGCAAAGGAAAGTCTTCCGAATTAGTGGAGAAGCACCACCAGAACCATCATCAGAGTCAAAACCGGACTCAGCACAGTAGCCATCATCCGAACCAACTCACAGTCTCTCCTGGAGGGATCTTAGAATTTGTACCAGCGCAGAGACAGCAGTCAAAATCCAAGCCAACAAGAGAGAGAGACCTGTCATCAAAGTCTTACTCTGCAACTGCCAGCCACCCATTGCACAGTGAGAGGGACGTATCATCTGTAGGAAACAAAGAAAACTCCAAACTGGGACCCGGCCACCAACTGCCCCACGCCCACAGCCTATCCCGTCACCACAGTTCAGCCCCATTACCCCATGCTGCCATCCTAAACCCTCACTACCCTGCTGTACCACCCTCACTCCCTTCCCGAGCCCCTTCCTCTTACCAGCACATCAGTCAACCCTGTCCCTCACACACTAGAGAACATCGGCCCCAAATTCTTCACGCTTTACCCCTCTCCCCTACTTCCTCCCAAGGAGGCTTCCCCAGTCCTGACCACACATGTACGATTGACTTTTCCCACCCTTGTGGCTGTTGGAGGTTGGTTCGTTGTAGAAGAGGTAGAGGTCACTCGGCTGGCTGCCACGGTCGTAGTACAAGCCCATCCTCTTCATTTTCCCACGCCCCAGGAACAAGTGCTGCCAACGGAGGTGGCGGAACCATGGGATTGAAGACTTTAGGAGGGTGTCTGTCAACTGCTTCCACCACCAACACCTCCTCTTCCAACAGCACTGTCTCGGACTGTCGCACAGGGCTGCTCAGACCTTTGGGTTGTGCATCCTGTTCTGGAGAAGCTGGAGGTTTTGAGAGCCCTGCTGCTTTCCGTAAGAAACTGGTTGGGGGTTGTTTACCTTGTACTCCCCTTTCCTCATCTGCACCTCTTCGAGTACTCCAGAGTTGCGTCAGTGGGTGCAATCCTAAAACAAGCCAAACTGGCAGCTCCACGTGCAGTTACTGCAGTAGTGACCCCATTGTAGTGACCTTTAACCCGCACAGAGGGAATCCTCACAACATGGGGCGTAATATTGGTGCACATACCATGGGAGGATACCAGCCTGATGATAACGATTACAGTGTACGCACAATCTGGCCGGAGGAGCTAGCGAAAAAGATGACTCGCTCTAAAACTCAACCTATCCATCACAATGCAGGTATCGGAATGGGCTCAGGGAGGACCTGCATGGGCCACAACCAGAATAGTGGCAATGGTGGCAATCCTGTAATCCTGGACTGCCGGAACCTTATGGAGTTCACTCGTTCCCAGTTGACAGATCAGGCAGGACGACGGAGGCTCCAGCAAGGAAAGATGGCAGTTTTGGACTTTATCGGATCAGGGAATAGTGGAGACCAGGGTAGAGATTCCCTCAAGCGGCTTTGGAACAAAGGAGCAGATGCTTGCATGGGGGATGGCAACGGGTTTGATGATGAAGTGCTTCCACAATCCCTATCCCTCCGCTCTCCATCTCCAGATTCCCCTCCATCCTTCTCACCCCCACCCTCTGCTCCTAGCACGCTTATTAAGCCCAAACCCAAACAGCGAGAGAGGGAGGGTGGACACACCTTACCCTCGGCACAGTCGCTCCACTTGGTCCTCAACTCACTCAACAGAGAACAAGATAAGGAAAATGGACGAGGTAAAGTTGCTAATGTGCAAGTACACAGCAGGTTGAGTGACATCTGTATAATGTGTTTTTTTGACAATTCGACAATTCAGAAAGATGAACATAATCTCTTCACATTGCCAGTCCCACTTGAATGTACTGACCTTGATTTCATTTTCTCATCTTCCATTAGGCTGTATGCCTTTCTGCACTGATAGTATTCAAATTAAAATTATAGTTCAGTTAATCTGTGGGGTGCATAATCCTCCTTAGCCTAGCTTCAGAAGAATGCCAGTTACATTGATGCCCTAGTAATGTAACTCAAGTTCAAGTTTTTCTCCTTAAACACTTTCTACCTTTAATTCTTTTTCTTAAAACTCAGACTGCTTTATTCTCTGTTTTATTTCTTACTGAAACTCGTTAAGTTTTGTTAGATAACTAAAGGATAATAGCCATTCTGTGGAGGGAGAGTGATGGGACTTCAAACAGGAAAGATAAGGAGGAAAGATTAAAATTATTTTAAATTATTCGATTTTCTTACATAAGGCCTTGATGACATCATACTCTGACAGGATTTTAACCCGTGTCATTTTTAATTGACTGAAAAGAGTCCTGTACCAGCATACCTCTCTTAGATGGTCACATAGAGTGAAGTATTTAAGCATATAAGAAAACTAAAGTAATTTTTATTTTTTTTGCCAGTGCACCTTTCCCTCCCTCTTTCCTCATCCCTCCCAGCTTCACTATCTGAGGAGAGTGTCATGACCCCAGATATGGAGAATGCTGTGATCAGCCCCATCCTCCCTTTCCTTTTTCTTGGCAACGAGAGAGATGCACAGGATTTGGATCTACTGCTTCGTCTCAACATTGGTTTTGTGGTCAATATCACAACCCATCTTCCCCTCTACCACCTGGACACAGGCTTGGTGCGTTACAAAAGACTCCCTGCCACTGACAACAGCAAGCAGAACCTGCGACAGTATTTTGAAGAGGTTTTTGAGTTTATCGGTAAGAGAAATTGTCAACTCTTGTAGTTTAAACATTTACAAGTCATTTCTTAACAAGTGCAGGTTTTTATGGGGTATTTAAAATCATCTTCTTGCCATGTTATTTCTGATACTTTCTATTTAAATTGTACATCAGAACTGGAGGCATGTGACCATTTTTTGGTGTGTGCCACACCTCTTTTTTGTTTCAGAGGAAGCTCACCAGTGTGGACGGGGCGTTCTTGTGCACTGCCAAGCAGGTGTGTCCCGCTCAGCTACTATAGTCATTGCTTACCTGATGAAGCACACCCTCATGACCATGACTGATGCCTATAAGTATGTGCGCGGTCGGCGGCCAATAGTCTCCCCCAACCTCAACTTCATGGGCCAGCTGCTAGAGTTTGAGAGAGACCTCAACTCTGGGGTAACACCTCGCATCCTCACCCCCAAACTGAGTGGCCTGGAAACACAAGTTTAAAAGGGTGGCGCAAGAAGATTGTGAGAAAACGAGAGGGGAGAAGGAGATGAATAAGAAGAGGGAATTGATGGACAGAAATGGATGGATAAAAAAACATGGGTAAGAATAAAGCCGTTTAACGATAACAAACAGTTAAGGATTTGAAGAGAGATGACAGAAATAACTAGAAGATGAAAGCAGTCCGAAAGAAATAGAGGAAATAGTCTTGGTCTATTTTAATTGAAGTATCTCCACGCTTTCTGTTTCATATAAATAGCATTTATTTGACACATGCATCACATTCGAGACCCAAGAGCTGTAGCAAACTTCAAACTCCTTTTCCACTGTGCACAGAACATTTCTAGACAGATTATTTTTGATTTGGGAGATCATTTGAAGGCACTTTTTGGGTTACTTTGCGTTAGCTGCCAACTATTTATAAATTTGTCCACTGACATGAAGATTAATTTTGCCTTTTAAATTTTTTCGATATTGCTATTTTTGTTACTTGATCTTACATCTTGCATTCTTTATCTTAGTGTATTTGTGTGGGAGGTGTGCGATAGTGTTGATGTGGAAGTGGAACTGATTTAAGTAATTTTCACTTTCTTTTATTTTTCATGGGACATGAACCAGCCATTCTAATGTCAGATATTATCCAAAAATCATATATTTCTTTTTTATTTCTTGCTTATGATATTTAACAGATGGCAATTTGTATAAAGCACTGTGTAATGAAAAAAAAATGTGTTAATAGGAAAAGTGGATAATAGACTATAAAATAGGTTTTTTATTTTCTGTCTTTTTTATTCAACTCACTATTTATTTTACTTTGGGCAGGCAGTGCAATGGCTTAAATTTACTCAGATTTAATTTAATATAATTTTTTGTGCTTTCTGTATGTTTTGTTTTTTTGTTTGTTTTTGTGCTGCAGATGGTGATAAGAATTTTACATTTTTAATATGGAATATGTGCACTGTTTATTGCTGTGAGAAATTACTGTGACTGGAGCAGATTGGGCCAAGTCATCAACATGAATCTCACTCTTTAGTATGAGTTGAATTTGCGATTCAAAATTGCACATCAAGGTGACAAGTAGATATTTATAGTTTATGCAAAATCAGCATGAAAGTTCCAAGGTGATAGTGTGCAGGTGTAGCTAAAACATTAAATGTGTTTTCCATCATTTGCTTTTCTGTCACATTCAGTTCATTGCATAAGAAAAATGAACACCCTTATCAGCTTTAATGCCTGCCCTATTTTTAAACAGCCTGCCTAATTTGACCATGATCAGATTTTAGTGCTCTCAGGACTGTAGGCAAACAATCTGGTTTTGTATTACGTACCACAAAGGAAACCAGAGCCCCTTCCTCCATTTAAATTCTTCCTTCATTTTCCTACCTTCTTTTTCTTTCTCTATGTCCTCTAAGAGACTATGCATTATTATGGGAATACATTCTGTGAAAAAGACTTGGTTCACTCAGTTCACTGTGAAACATTCTTCTTCCTGCATATTGTCAGTTTCTCAGCCTTGGTCCTTGAAGCCACCTCTCCTCAGTCTTGTCTGCTGTCCCTGAGCTCTTATCTTCTTCACTGAGCCACTGGGCCTTCACACACCACTGCTGTGTCTCCATTAATGTGCTCTGCCCAGCAGCGCGTGACAAAGTATACTATTTTGCATTTCAGTTCAAAAACCCCCTACAGTACCTACAGTAAAGACACGTGAAGGTGTTTTCTTATAGGTACAAGACCTCAGAAATGCCCCCAAATTTTAACATCTGTCTGATTTATCTAAGATGGCTGCTATGGATGACCAGTTCAGTGCCATTGCTGTGTTATTTTAGGGTCAGCTGCTGCTTGTATTTGACACGCTGACTGTTTTTTTCTGTCTCTCTCTGCTGACAGTGTTTTTGTCGGACTCGGTAGCTTGATTATGCCCTGAGGAAACGATTAGGTAAGCAACACCTAATAAAAAGGTCTCAGTGAGGTGACAGAGTGCCAAGAAATCAGACAAGTCTTAATCTATAAAGCAGGATTGGGCAAAATTTGGAATTCAAGAATCGGCCTCCTTTCAGTTCATGAGTTTGAATTTGATTTGAATTGACCACATGCCACAGCATATTGAATTGAAATGACATGAAGAGGAATTCAAAGAAATTCAACACACACTTGCATGCCCTCATGTCTAGAATCCATGAAACATCCCGCACAATACTGTACACAATAATTTCAATACTAATTCCTTAAATTTAAATTTGAATCGCAATTCTCCTTTTTGCTACCTCGATTCAAATTCAGGAATTGAATTGGAATTTAAAAGGCATTCTCAGTTCTGTTATGAATGCCACACAACCCTGCTAAACATGGATGCTGCTGCTAAGCATTTAGACTAACAATATGTATTTTTAAAACTTGAATTATTTCTACTTTAGAGTATAATTGCTAAACAGATCCTTTGGTATCTGAAATGAAATACATTTTTCTTCCATTATTTCTTTGAATCCATCATTTACCATTTCATTAAAACTGCCAGTTGCCACCCCCAAGTCTGCATGAGAACATGTGTAAAGTGTGTTTTACGAGAAAATAAATGCCGGGGATGCCTTTTGGTACAATAACCGTCTTCCGAGTCAATGTAGCACCTATTAACGGAAAGAAATGGATGCACTTGGAAGTTTTGTAATTGTTTGGATTTGTTTTGCTCTGTTATATATCTGTTTGCTGCACAAAAGTGTGCATGTGTGTGGATGCGAGAAGTCAGTCTTTGTGTTTTCTGTGTGCTAGACATGTTGAGACAAGAGTAATGTGAGTGAAACTTTCCTACCATTTTATCAAGAATCCCAACCTCAGGCCTGTTAAATGTCCATTGGCACAGCTCAAGCTTCTCTGTAAGCTTGCATCTGTCAATGCCATGAGCCACTGCTGTATGCCTTCTTTACCCTTCATTTGCTCTTCCAGACATTGGGGGAAAATTTACCTCTTTGTACATTCAATCATACCTTTCACTGTAGATAAAAAATATTGCGTAGGCGTACCAAAAACACCTGGTAACACTGAATGAATAGCGCTGGACATCACAGACCTGACGAATTGCTGTTGGCTGTCCACATCTTGAGTATCTCGTTGTATGAAAGCTGAATTTGTTTATAAAATGTGTGCAAAGCATTGAAACTGGATACTATATATGACCAGTATTTCCTGTGTTGAATAATCTTATATACAGTATATGGTTTGCACATAGAAATGAACTAAATGTAAAGTTTTGTGTAGAATTTGTTTGTAAATTTGTGAATTGATTCTTTCTGTGACTTTATTCATGTATGTAATGCTTGTTCTTTTTTTTTATTATTATTATTATTGTTATTATTATCTAATTTTTGTGCCAAATACTGAAATGGTGGTTGGCATCTTAATATTGACAAAAAAGAAGTGCCCTCTAGGACAGAGCATGTTTGAACTGCTCGGTTATCAGTGTTTTACCTTGTTCCCCAGGCAATGTTGTTGTCATACTCTGTTACTGTAACTTTACACTTTACCTGCTGATTTTCTTACCCACTAACCTGCTAAATTGCTCATTGAAATTGTATATTTTCAAATGTTAATTTGTTTTGTTTCGTCATGGCAATTTGATCAGAGACTCTTTGGGTAGAGGTTTATAGCGATTCCTCAAGGGTTGTACTTTGATGTACTTTGAATGCATGTTACTCCAAACTGACCTTCCAGTCTTCTCTCCCCTTCCTACTGACTCAGCCGTTCTCCCCCGTGAGAATTCAGTGCCCACGCTGCTTCAGAGAGAAGACGGACACGGCAGCCTGTGTTGGTTTGACCATATACTTGTGCGTACTTCGATTTATCACTGACAAATGATGGGGCTTCATCCTTTTTCCTGTTTAAAACTTTACTGTGAGAGACTGTGATACTGTTGTGAAGCAAAAAACGATTAAAAGTGTTAGGCTGATCCTTGCCGGTAATGACTATGAGAATAACGTAAAAAGATTGGCTTGTAATAGAATTGTTCATCAATATGATGTTCTCGCAAACCTAAAATGATTTGTTGAAATAAATTTTTTTACAAATTGACAATGGTGTAGTGTTTCTTTTTTATGGCTTCCCTTACCAAAAAGTAGTATACTTCAAGTTTATTTTAGTAAGTATGCTTAAGTAAAGTTCAAGTATATTTTTAAGTATACTTTATGTAGTAAGCATACAAATATCAGTGTACAAGTAGTATACTTGTAAGTGTACTATTTCAATACTAACAAAAACATTTTATTCTAGCTTAATGCATTCTTTTTTAAACACTTGAATGTGGTAAGTTCCATTAAAAAATAAAGAAATAAACAACATTTTGAACAAAAAGATGAAAAAAAAGACTGAATTGGATTCAGAATGATAATCAAAACGTAGATAGAGTCGATCAACACCCCAAAGCTTGACAGTCATTAGTATCTCTTCATTGGTCGACATTTTATTCCATTACGTTTCACAGTTTTGATGCTGTTTTATGTCTCATGATTGTGTTAGATTACATGTGGAAGCATCTGTTGTTTCGGTTTCTTCTTCACTTGTGTTTTTTGGAAATTCTGTACAGAAGATGTGTACTAGCGCCCCCTACCGTATAACAATGAAAACACGGATTCTAGGGGCACAAGTATACAGTAGCTCAAATATATTTAGACTTTTTCAAGTATAAGTCAAGTATACTTAAATGTCATTTTGAGTATATTTCTGAGAAGAACAGAAAAAGTAGACTAAAAGTATAATTTCCTATTTTTAGTTTAAAAGAAGTATACTAATAGCACACTTGAATAAACGTATTTTTCGTAAGGGCTGTGACACAAAACACATATTGGTATCTAGAACAGTCTAGCACTCTCATAAGCCCACCCAAACCAGGACCAGTTCATTCAGAACCAGGAATGTTGGTTTGGAAATTATTGGTTGTTACAGTATAGTCAATGAGCTGTCAGATTACCATTGACAAATCAGCAGGGCAGCCCACCAGTTACATAACCGTTAGTTGCTGTGTTGTGCGACTGCGCTGTGATTTAGCACCCTGAGGGCTTGGATCAATAGTCAGCATGGTCTAATACAGGACACCTATCATATCAAAGCGAATCCTAGTTGCAGCTCTCTCCAGTCTCGGTTTCCATTAGCTTTCCTCGTCGTGGTCTAATCTCCTCAGTGTCAGTGAGAAAAGCTGGAGGAAGGATGCCTCCTGTGACCGCCTACTTCCAGGTCACTTCAGCGTTAAGTCAGAATGATAGAACAAAGCTAAAATGGTAGAGTGCCTGAGAGGGATGAGTAGAGAAACTGGGACAAAGGCTTTTAGTGTGTGGAATCGTGTGCACGTGTGAGAGGCCAGCATAAGAATGCTCAAGGCAACGCTGCTGATCCATGTCCCCAACATCCCTCCGTAATATTGGTGAAACTTGATGACTCAATTCTGCTGCCTGGTCTTGAGGGTATGACTGTTATGTGATAAGTGCATTTGAATTTACTGGAAGTTCTTTTTTCTAATTAGAAATGGATAACAGCTTTTTTCTATTTTTGAATTTGATTGGCTGAGTGGCATTCCAATAGTGGCCTGAAACATGCTAAATGATTAGCCAGCATATACTTACATTTGGTCCTGAATTGCATAACAACACATTTTGCAATGCAACAACATGCAAAATCTTGCATAGCTAAAAGCTAACAGCCAAAAGCCGAATGCACATATGCCCGATTTTAGGTATTACAAGTAACGTGTGTTACGAAATCAGATTACTTTTTTTCAAGAAACTAAAGTAACGCATTACTTTTAAAATTACAAAAAAATATCAGAGTTAATTTTTCAAATTAGTGATGCGTTACTTTGTTTTCCCATTTATTGACTGACAGCTTTCCTGTCCCCATGTTGAGAGAAATTTAGTGCAGA